ACCAGCAGAACCCAAACCGTGTGCTCCCTCTCTCTCTCTGCTGCAGCTGAAGAAGGTGACCAGCGTGGCGAGCCCTCACACCAACCCGCGGGTGGTGGACAGCTGGGTGGACAGCATCAGCGCCCTGCACCGGTCCAAACCCCCGGCCAGCGTCCAGTACGGCCGCCCCATGCCGGACATCGACAGCCTGATGCAGGAGTGGCCCCCCGAGCTGGAGGAGGGGCTGGGGAGGCTGCAGCTGCCGCCAGCCCGGCTGAGCTGCGACCTGCGGCAGTACGTGGACATCATCTGCAGCCTGCTGGACATCCCCGTCTACGGAAGCAGGGTCCACAGCCTGCACCTGCTCTTCAGCCTCTACCTGGAGTTCAGGGACTCCCAGCACTTCACCAGCAGGGCCTAGCAGGGACCGGGTCCTCCTCCTCTGGTGCTGGTAAAGGGTGGACCAGCAGGGACTGAACCAGAACCACCAACCTTTAGGAACCTTTGTAGCACCAGAGTTCTGCTGTGTGTTTAGAACCCGGTCAGACTGTGATGTGTTAAAGAAAGAACCATTAAACAGACAGAACCACAGACCCAAACGGGTCAGGGTCCGAGGCTGGATCTGCCCAGCACCGTGTTCTGGTTCTGAACCACCCAGGATCTCATGTTTGATCATTTCTGCTGAACCAGAACCCAGACAGCAGCTGATAATTGCTGCCTGAAAGGAGAAACCTCAGATTGGATCATTTCAGGGGAGAAATCTCACCTGGTTACCATAGAAACGATAACATATCTTTGCTCAGCGCTGGTTTGGTTCCTCTGCCGGTTTTCTGTAAAGCAGGAACCATTCAGCCAAGGAGACGATATCATCCACACCTTCTGGGTTCTAGAGCAGCTCAGTGTTTCCGTGGCAACACTTCCTGTTTACAGGAAACCTTCCCTCCTCCTTAATGAACTAACCCGCCGTTCTCCCAGGGCTCAGTCCTTCTACACATCCTTCTCTCTTCTGAAGCAGGATCATTATGGAATTCTAGTTGTTTAAGTTAAAACTGGCATTTTTACAAGAATAAACATGTAAATCTATGAGTAAAAACACTCAAATTTACCAGATTATAAATGCAAATTTAACAGGAAACATGTAGCAAATGTTGAAGAATAAATTGGCAAATTAATAGAAAAAAAAGACATTATAAAGATGCAAAGGTTTTGTCTCATTGATTTGTACTTTGGAAACTTCCATGAGGAGGCCATTGAACCGTCTCATTTCATTACTAAAGCCCCCCCCCCCCCCC